CCCAATTATGGGTCATGAAGCACATTGGATAATGTCCAGAAACCAATTTAAAGTGTAATAAAATAATTGCTGCTGTAACGTTTTCCCTATAATTATCACAAAAACACAAAATAAGTATAAATAAGTATTTATATGTGTGTACAAGCTGTTTAGATTGTCAAAAAGCCTGTGTTTTTTGGGTTATTAACTGAGTTCATGTATTCACACCAGTAATATTTGGGGTCACAAGTTTTTGCCATGAATATTTTGTGGGTCAGAAGATAAAAAGTATGGGAACCTCTGGTCTTGAGAAGGTCCTTGTACCTCTTCTTTGAGGCAACTCTGTTCCGATGTCATACATTGTGATCCTTAGACAGGCGGTGGTCATCCATTATGAACCTGACCAGCTCAGTCATGCCTAGCCTCAGTACTGGTGATCTCTGCCTGCTGGATGACTAAGATTTGGTTATGTAGATGCTCCAGTGGATGTTAAGGATGGATAAGAGTCAATGCTGGTGGAGTGTTGAAGGAGTTGGAGGTGCCTACAGTATGAGGCTTACAGGAGAGTGGTTGGTACCATTGCTCTATATCAGGGCTATTCAACTAAAATCACTCCGGGGGCCACAGTTACTGCAGGTCAACAGCTGAGGGACCGAACATCCAGCAATTAAAGTCATTATGTAAATAAACCAAGTATTACAAAGATCTGTTGCCTTGGAAATAATTTATTTTGCTGCATTTAATCATGAAAACAACATACAGAACCCTATAAAAGTAGTGATAATTTAACAATGTCAAAAAACAAAAAGAACACATTATGCCTTTTATACAAACATTATTTTGACATCTCTGACTTGCCAATTTTTTAATCAATTTTATTTTTACTTTCATAGTTTTATCTTCCACTGCTTTAGTTTTAACTGTCTTGAATGTTCATAGTAATGATTTTTACCAGCTCGTAGCCAAGATACTGACRTTTCTGTAGATACCAAACATGTCTATGTTTAACTATAATACCTTAGAGTAATTAAAGTAGAAAACCAGGGGTTTGGGCTTAAGAGATGAATGAACCAATTAGCAGGCCGGCCCGCCAGTTGAATAGCCCTGCTCCACATACTTGATTGAACCTTTGCTCCTCAGGTCTTTGTATCTGACTTTCTGAAGTTCCCGGTTTGATTAGCTTAAAGAAATTTATACAGTATGTTAATTATGAAATGACAATTTCTTAATTTTTTTTATYGAGTTTATTATTGAATTTCTGAAAACATGAGATTATGTTGATTTTACGGTAAAACATACGGAAAAATCAATACAATAATTCTAGTCCACTTCTTCAATAGTGGGACCTTGAGCGCTGCCTCTAGCTTGGCTGCCGCAGCTTCCTGATGCTGCTCCTTGGTACAGCTTCGTCACGACCGGCTTGCACACCCTCTCCAGTTCCTTTTGCTGATGCTCGTACTCATCCTTCTCAGCGAGTTGGTTGTTCTCCAGCCAAGAAATCGTCTGGTTGCATTTGTCAACAACCATCTTTTTATCCTCGTCACTAATTTTCCCTTTCAGAGCCTCGTCCTCAACACTGCTCTTCATGTGGAAGGCGTAGGACTCCAGAGAGTTCTTGGCTGCGATCTTCTCCCTCTGCTTGTCGTCCTCTGCTTTGTACTTGTCTGCGTCTTGCACCATCTTCTCGATCTCGTCTTTGCTGAGGCGGCCCTTGTCGTTGGTGATTGTGATTTTGTTTATTTTGCCAGTGCTTTTGTCCACGGCCGACACATTTAGAATACCGTTGGCATCAATGTCAAAGGTTACCTCGATTTGTGGCACACCTCTAGGAGCTGGTGGGATACCTGTGAGCTCAAACCTCCCAAGCAGATTGTTGTCTTTGGTCATAGCTCTTTCACCTTCGTACACCTGAATCAGTACTCCTGGCTGGTTATCAGAGTACGTGGAGAAGATCTGAGTCTGCTTCGAGGGGATTGTGGTGTTCCGTTTGATAAGAGGCGTCATAACTCCACCTGCGGTTTCGATACCTAAAGAGAGGGGTGCCACATCCAGCAGCAGCAAATCCTGGACGTTCTCCGAAGTGTCGCCCATGAGGATAGCAGCCTGGACCGCAGCACCATAGGCCACTGCTTCATCAGGGTTGATGCTTTTGTTCAGTTCTTTACCATTAAAGAAGTCCTGTAAGAGCTTCTGGATTTTGGGTATTCTTGTGGAACCACCAACCAGGACAATTTCATGGATCTTAGACTTATCCAGCTTGGCATCTTGCAGGGCCTTCTCAACTGGCTCCAGTGTTCCTCTGAAGAGATCTGAGTTGAGCTCCTCAAAACGGGCCCTTGTGATCGAGGTGTAGAAGTCGATACCCTCAAAC